CCCAAGGCGGGTGGCGTGTGCCCGTTGCTGATTTGGCCCCCCGATTTGTTTGTGGCTTAGGGAAACCGAAAGGAACACGGGCCAGAAAAGGGGGCGGGGTTTGGGTTGGTGGTTTGGGGATTGGAGCCCCTGGTTCTTGTAGAGGGTAAATGGGAGACTGTCCTTGACCACCAAGCCACCAATCCAAATAGGAAAGCTGAAGCTTGTTCTTTCTTTTGAGTGCCCATTTGTTTGTGGCTTGAAAGGGAAACCGAAAGGAACGCCTTTTTTTGGGGGTGGGAGGAAGGCGGTTTTCCATGCAAGGCACGGGGCGCCAATTATTGTGGGGGGGGAGGGGCCTTTTTTGACATAAATCCTGTTTCGATGAACCCTGTTGGGATTTCTTTCAGGGGAGCCGAGGGCAAAGCTTGCTTGTTGGGTCCCACATTTTCAGAATTTCAGACGAACCATCAGGACGCAAACCTTTGCACCTTCTGTTTTGGTGTTTCATGCTTTCTTTGGAGCCGCCAGGCAGAGCAAGGTGCTGCCAAAGCCGCTGCGCGGGAAGTTGCGAACAGTTCGGGTTCACCGATCGACGAAGCTCTGCCGGATTTCGACCCTACACCAAGAGCGGCTTCTCCGATCGACGAAGCTTTGCCCGATTTCGGCGAGATGGCAGAGGAGGAGGAGGACGGTGGGTCCAACTAGATATCCAAATTTCTGGCTAGACGAACCAGCTTTGACTGAGTTGTCGCTGGCTGGGGTATGGTGGGGTGATGTTGAAAGGGGACGTGTAAGATGCTTTTTAGTGAGATGTGTGTTCATCGGCCTTGCGTTGCGGGAGGTCCCATCCAGCAATTAGCCCTCGGTGCTTGGCCAGTACAACCCCCTAGGGAATAAAGTTGCCCACTGGCCGACCAAGCGCCGGCCATGGTGGTGACTGTTGATCCAGTTGTTTCCGTTCAACGCACTTCGGAGGTTTCCGCCAAAGCCACCAAGATCGCGAACGATGCGTGGCTCGGTGTCTTTAAGTTTTTCCGGTGAGGTTGGGGAGGGGGGGGGGAATTTCAGGGCTCGTGCCGTTTGGTTGGCCGGGGTGCACGCTCCATTGTGGAAGAACGGTAAAACCTGCAGATTCCGGCAGGCGGGCCCGAACGGTTTCTTCTTCTGCTTCGGGTTTTGCGCGTGAACAAAACTTGACGCTTTCAGGAAGGGCATGGGTTGCAAAGCATGCGAAATCTGTGCGAAATTGTCCGGCCCTGATCTGGTCGAAGGTGGAGATCCAGCAAATGGCTCGCCGCGGCCCTGGGCACAGGGTATTCCCAAGAAACATCCGTGGACACTGTGGGTGCCCCCGTTTAGTTCAGATCTATCACTATTGGAGGGGAACATAGGTCGTGTTTATTGATGCGGGGTCAAACATGAGGCTTGAAAACTTAGATTTGCGAAGTTTAGGGAATCCACCCTCCAACGCCCTAACTGCCAAGGCCTTTTTCTGCTGATCCGCTTACAAATACCCCCCCCCCCCCCTACAAATCCCCCCCCCCCCAGTTGCATGTACAGTTGTATATTCGCCTGGGGGCCAAACGATATTTAATCGGTCCACGTCTGCCCTTCCGGAGGCTACGGTGCGGGCGCCTATTTATCGTAAGGTCGGCTTCCGCGTTCAAACAGCAGTCGATGTCATTGGATTGGATTGGTTTACCTCACTCCCTGAGTTCATGGACTTTATACTTTTTGGGAAGACCATTTTGGTGGTAAACAAAAAGTTTGGACTTTTTTTGGCCAATCAACTCAGGAAGCGAGCTACTATTGGTTCACTGTCGGTTTGGTCTTGGATATCAGGAGAAAATCAGGCGGTTCGGAACAAAACGCGCTTTTCATCTGGATTTCACCTTTGGGTGTCCGAAGGTTTCCATTTGAGCTGATTTCGAGGCCTGGCAACGAGGCACGGGCGGATTTCGGTGTGCTCAGAGGTGTGTTCGTGGGCATCAAAACCAATGGTACCATTTTGGGGTAAGTGCACTACCCATGTTAGTCTATTTTAGTGGGGAGTGGAATGTTCACTGGGGCCATGCGTGTGCGCGCATCAAAATAGGGATTTGGATTCCCAAAATGGTGGTTTCCTGTTGGTTTCGATTGAAGCCTGCCCCAAAAAGGGTGCCGAGCCTCAAGCGCCACAAGCCCAGCTGCGTTCCTGGATTTCCTTCCGAAGGTCACTGCATTTGGACACCCACTCCAGGTCAACGCGTCACCACCCTCACCCATAGCACTCGAATGGATGTCTGGCCAATGAACGGAGTTAACCACCTGTACAGCCCATGGTTACCGAAACATGTGTATCAAACAATAAGCGGCCGAGCTGTGACAAGAAGTGCCTGTGATGCCCAAAAACATGTCAGATGGCCCTTGGGCACATTTTCTGTATCAAAGGGCTCTCCCAGCAAGTGACATTGAGGTACTCACGGTCCTGAGGGCTTTCTTTGGGCACCTGTCAGACGTGAAATTGCTGGCCCCGGGCTTCTAAGAGGTGCCATCGGATGTGACACAAGTCCCTTCACAGGCGCCCCTCTTTTCAGGGTTTTTTGTTGGGAAGGGTTTCCCTTTAACCTCAACAAAAAGCAAAGGATGCCGATTCTTTTTGTCCCAATCCACTGGTTGCATCTGAGTCCAAAGCCTCCCAGTGGCTTATGTCCCTGGCTCTTTGAATCGGCGAAAGGTTTAGGCACCAAGGGGCCCGTAGGCTCCTTGGTGCCTGGTGCCTATGGATCGCAGATTGTTTGTTCGCTAGACATTGCCAGACAAGCCGCAATCCATGGCAAAATGTACTCCAAGCATGTGCACAGGGTCCTTGAAAAGGAGGCGGAATTCTTGCGGGTTGAACACTACATGCGTGTTCACATGTTGTTGGCCAGATCTGGGGAGAGGGCATCACTTGGATCCAATATTGTGTGTAAACCAGGAACCCGACAGAGAAACCAAAAGGACAAGTGTTGGTATTATAACTTGCTGGTGCTCAGCAGGGAATCTGGAAATAAACCCAGGGGCCCCTTAAAGGCAACCACAAGGGATTGTTTATACGGGTCATTCCATTTCTCATTCCCTGCCTATCGCACCAGCAAGATAAGTCTCTAAGGGCAAGGTATGGTTGCTTGTGGGAAACAGTTTGCATGTTTGCCTATTGTGGTTTAGTGGGAGGTGCGCAGTTCACTGCTAAAATTTGTTTTTGTTGCTCCCCTTGCAACGTCGACCAAGAAGGATTTATATACTTGGCAATTGGCCAGGGAAGCGGCGAAAGCTGCAAGGCTCCAGGCACTGGGCGGGGCACCGGGCTGCGAGAGAAGAGAGCCACACAGAAGCCTCAGGGTGGCGTTTTTTTGTTTCTTCTTGTTTTCTGTTTTTTCTCCGTAGTTTTTCAGGGCTCCTTAAAAGATACATTTTGCCCTGTTGAAACATGGCTTTTCTCCACCAAAATCAAAGGACACCACCATTTACAAGGCAATGTTCAGGTGTATGATGTAAGGATCCCTGTTTTTGTTTGTTTTTTTTAAACGGGGCGACGTTCAGAGACTCGGAAAACCGCGGACGTTTTTCGCCTTGTTCGTTGTCTTGAAGCCGATTCGCCCAAAGCAAAGGGGGTGCCAAGTCCAAAAGGGTTGCAGGTGTTCGTTTCACGCCAGTCTCACTTGCCCAAAGCCAACCTTTTGACCTTTTGGTTTCCCCTTTCTGGGTCCTTTGGGCAACTGAGCAGTACCTGAGATCAGGTTTGCCCTTGGTGATTTGGATTGGTGGCTTTGGAATCGGACCGTGGGTTCTTGGCGGACATGGGAAGCCGATCGAGCCGCCGGCCACCCTTCGCCACCCTTCGCCAATCCAACCTGACGGGTTGAAGCCGATCTTTCGAGCTCGACGAACTGACTGAGAACATATGCCAACACACCGAAGGCTTACGAAGGCCATCGGGGATGCCCAGTGGCGCTCCTTTTTTGTTCCTCGACTTTTTTCGGTTGGAAGGGTTCCGATTCCTTCCAACTCAACCAAGCAACCAAGGATGCCTCATTTGTTTTTCTCCCCTGGACAGCCACTGGTTGCATCTGAGCCATGATCTTGCGGAGCTCTTGAGCCCAGGGACCTGGACGGCCCGGTGATTTGGGAGTCTGGATTTGAGTCCGCTGGTCCTTAAGTTGTGTTTTGCCAACGGTGGCAAGGCATGGTTGTCGTTGGGAAACATTTTACATCTTTGCTTAGTGTGGTTTAGTGGGACATCCCCACTAACATTTAAATTTTTGCTCCCCTTCCAATTTGTCAACCAAGCAAAGGGCCAAGGGTGGAGACGGGTCAACCACAAGCCATCACTCCCGCAGTTGCGTTCAAGTCCTTGGGGCAAAAATCAGAGAGTTAGCAAAATAGCAACCCAGAAAGCTTTCAAGGGGTTGCGAGTCAGGTGACGGGGGGGATGGAGGGTGCTGGGGAAGCTATGATTCGGTTTTCCCCTGCATGAAGCATTTGATTGCCCGCTTGCCCACTTGACCATTGGCACCCCTCCCTTTTAACAGGCGGGTGCCTCTTTGAAATCAACCAGCAACCAGCCATAAGGCGAACATTGGGGAAATGTTGTTGCTTTTCACATTGGCCCATTGACAGCTTCTCCAAATGCTGGACCCTGGTTTGGTGGCTGACTTAAGGGGCCCAAAAGGGAGCCAGCCATGCTTGCAGGATTTTAGGGGACTATTTGTTTTTGAAGGAAGCTCCTATATTCGGTTCAAGGATCCTTCTCAGAAATCCAACAGCCCTAGCGCTTTTTGAAAAGAACGGTGGTTGGAAAGGATACGATCCAACGCAGTCCGAGCGGATGGACGCATTGCTCAAGCTGTCCAGCCCGAAGCCCGGAAAGCCGACCACATCACGTGCCCCGAAGCTTTCCCATTGGGCATGGGTTTTGTTGCCGGGCACTCAGCTTGCAAAGGACATTTTCAAAAGGAACGCCACGGGTTCTTTGGGGGTCAACCTATTTTGACACAGGGTACTTGAATCTACCCAGCTGCACGGTTGGCAGCCATGGCAAGGGTGATTACGGTGCACTGCGCGCCGTCCGGGAAAGAGGAAGCAATCGAATTGGAGGCAGACATGACTGTCCGTGAGTTCAGGAGGCAGCTGCACGGGTGGCTGCCCTGTGGAGATGAGTCACAGAGCAAGATGAGTTTGGTGGAGGTGGTTGTCGGAGCCACGCCCCTATTGAACAACGAGGAGATGGTGTCGGAGGCAATTCCAGGTGCAGAAGTGTTGGCTTTCCTGAGCATCAAGGCGGTGAAGTGCTCACGTGCCTCGTCATCCGGCTGTGAGCCTGAAGATTTGCGTGTAGTGGAAATCACAGCTGCAGGACAGGTCGGCCCGAATGCGTTCCAGGGCTGCATTTATATGGCCAGTGTGGCCATCCCAGACTCCGTGACTGTGATCAGACACACGGCCTTTGCACACTGCAGATCATTGAAGAGCGTGGCTATCCCCAACTCCGTGACACAGATTGAATTGATGGCCTTCGTTGGATGCATCTCACTGGAAAGCGTGGCCATTCCCAATTCTGTGACTCGGATCGGGACTAGTGCCTTTCAAAACTGCAGCTCTTTGACAAGCGTGAGCATTCCTGACACCATGACCGAGATTGGTGCTCATGTCTTTACCGGTTGCAGCTCATTGACCAGCATGACCATTCCCAATTCTGTGACTCAGATTGGGCATAGTGCATTTGAAAGTTGTTGCTCATTGACAAGCGTGAGCATTCCCGAGACAGTGACAGTGATTGGAAAGCGTGCCTTCCGAGGTTGCAGCTCATTGCCAAGCATAACCATTCCCAATTCTGTGACTAAGATCGGGCATCGTGCCTTTGAAAATTGCAGCTCGCTAACGAGCGTGACCATCCCTGACTTCGTGACTCGTATTGGCAAGGGAGCCTTTGCCGGCTGCAACTTTCCTTGGGTTGATAAGTGCAATGAAGAGTCGGAGGAGTCGGGGGAGTCGGAGTTTGACTTATTTGATTAATTAGTCTCCGTGCTGCAGCGCAAGCTCTTGAACCTGGTTCTTGCACTGGCGAGCTTAGCACGGGCAGCGACAAACGCTTTAAGGCTTGGGGGCCTTTTGGGGTTGCAGGATGCTATGGGACCGAGCAGGCATTTCGCGATTCAATTTGCAAATGGAACCCGTTAGAGTTCAACAGGACATCAAAACCGCTGTGTTTTGCCATCCTTTTGTTCCCCCTGTCTCGTCCGCAGCCGCTGTGATCATGGGATGTATCCGTCAAGTGACTGGGATGGAGTATGCTGAGGGCTTCGGCTAGGCCTTGCGGACGCGTTTGTTTTTGCCACCCGCCCATTGGCACCCCTCCCCTTTAAGAGGCGGGCACCTCTTTGAAATCAACCAGCAACCAGCCATGAGACAAACATTGGGGGGCAAGTTTGTTGCATTTCACCTTGGCCCATCGCCTTTTGAGAGCTTCTCCCAATGGTGGACCCCGGTTTAAGGGACACCCAAAAGGGAGCCGACATGAGCCGACCATGTTTAGGGGCAGTTTAGGCGACTATTCGCTTTTGAAGCCTCTCCATTCAGTTTAGGGATCCTTCTCAGAAATTCAGCAGCCCTGAGAAAACCGCTGGTTGAATCGTTTGACGGTTGAAACATTTTGATGCCACGCGGTCCGAGCGGATCGACGGGAGGCATTGCTCAAGCTCAGCCCGAAGCCCGGAAAGCCGACCACATCACGCCAAGCTTTCCGATGTGGCGCCCTGTAGCTTAAGGAAAATCAAAAGGAACGCCACGTGTTCTTTGGGGGTCAACCTATTTTGACACACGGTACTTGAATCTACCTAGCTGCACGCTTGGCAGCCATGGCAAGAGTGATTACGGTGCACTGCGCGCCGTCCGGGAAAGAGGAAGCACTGAAATTGGAGGCAGACATGACTGTCCGTGAGTTCAGGAGGCAGCTGCACGGGTGGCTGCCCTGTGGAGATGAGTCACAGCGCAAGATGAGTTTGGTGGAGGTGGTTGTCGGAGCCACGCCCCTATTGAACAACGAGGAGATGGTGTCGGAGGCAATTCCAGGTGCAGAAGTGTTGGCTTTCTTGAGCATCAAGCCGGTGAAGTGCTCATGTGCCTCGTCATCCGGCTGTGAGCCTGAAGATTTGCGTGTGGTGGAAATTACGGCTGCAGGACAGGTCGGCCCGAGTGCGTTCCAGGGCTGCAGTTATTTGGCCAGTGTGGCCATCCCAGACTCCGTGACTGTGATCAAGCACACGGCCTTTGCACACTGCAGGTCATTGAAGAGCGTGGCTATCCCCAACTCCGTGACACAGATTGACAACCTGGCCTTCGTTGAATGCATCTCACTGGAAAGCGTGGCCATTCCCAATTCTGTGACTCGGATTGGGCATAGTGCCTTTCGAAACTGCAGCTCTTTGACAAGTGTGAGCATTCCCGACACCATGGCCAAGATTGGTGCTCATGTCTTTGCCGGTTGCAGCTCATTGACAAGCATGACCATTCCCAATTCTGTGACTCAGATTGGGCATAGTGCATTTGGGGGTTGTTGCTCATTGACAAGCGTGAGCATTCCCGACACCATGACCGAGATTGAGTCTCATGTTTTTGCCGGTTGCAGCTCATTGACAAGCATGACCATTCCCAATTCTGTGACTCAGATTGGGGATGGTGCATTTGAACACTGTTGCTCACTGACAAGTGTGAGCATTCCCGAGACAGTGACCGTGATTGGAAAGCGTGCTTTCCGAGGTTGCAGCTCATTGCCAAGCATAACCATTCCCAATTCTGTGACTCAGATCGGGCAGCGTGCCTTTGAAAATTGCAGCTCGCTGACGAGCGTGACCGTCCCTGACTCCGTGACTCGTATTGGCAAGGGAGCCTTTGCCGGCTGCAACTTTCCTTGGGTTGATGAGTGCAATGAAGAGTCGGAGGAATCGGATTAATATGGATTTCGGCTTGGACTTATTTGATTGGTCTCCGTTGTGCAGCGCAAGCTCTTGAACCTGGTTCTTGCACTGGCGAGCTTAGCACGGGCAGCGACAAACGCTTTGGTGCTGGGGGGCCTGTTGGGGTTGCAGGATGCTATGGGACCGAGCAGGCATTTCGCGATTCAACTTGCAAATGGAACCCGTTAGAGTTCAACAGGACATCAAAACCGCTGTGTTTTGCCATCCTTTTGTTCCCCCTGTCTCGTCCGCAGCCGCTGTGATCATGGGATGTATCCGTCAAGTGACTGGGATGGAGTATGCTGAGGGCTTCGGCTAGGCCTTGCGGACGCGTTTGTTTTTGCCACCCGCCCATTGGCACCCCTCCCCTTTAAGAGGCGGGCGCCTCTTTGAAATCAACCAGCAACCAGCCATGAGACAAACATTGGGCAAGTTTGTTGCATTTCACCTTGGCCCATCGCCTTTTGAGAGCTTCTCCCAATGGTGGACCCCGGTTTAAGGGACACCCAAAAGGGAGCCGACATGAGCCGACCATGTTTAGGGGATGTTAGGCGACTATTCGCTTTTGAAGCCTCTCCATTCAGTTTAGGGATCCTTCTCAGAAATTCAGCAGCCCTGAGAAAACCGCTGGTTGAATCGTTCGACGGTTGAAACATTTTGATGCCACGCGGTCCGAGCGGATCGACGGGAGGCATTGCTCAAGCTCAGCCCGAAGCCCGGAAAGCCGACCACATCACGCCAAGCTTTCCCATGTGGCGCCCTGTAGCTTAAGGAAATCAAAAGGAACGCCACGTGTTCTTTGGGGGTCAACCTATTTTGACACACAGGGTACTTGAATCTACCTAGCTGCACGCTTGGCAGCCATGGCAAGAGTGATTACGGTGCACTGCGCGCCGTCCGGGAAAGGAAGCACTGAAATTGGCGGCAGACATGACTGTCCGTGAGTTCAAGAGGCAGCTGCACGGGTGGCTGCCCTGTAGAGATGAGTCACAGCGCAAGATGAGTTTGGTGGAGGTGGTTGTCGGAGCCACGCCCCTATAAAATCACGAGCTGATGTGTCGGAGGCAATTCCAGGTGCAGAAGTGTTGGCTTTCTTGAGCATCAAGCCGGTGAAGTGCTCGGAGATTTGCGCATAGTGGTTTAGGGCATGCGTGCCAGTTGGTGCAATTGGTGAAAGCGCCTTCCAAGATTACAGCTGATTGATGAGCATGACCATCCCCGACTCTGTGACTGCAACTGGCAAAAGTGCCTTAAAAGGTTGCAACTCGTTGAGAAGCATGACCATCCCAGATTCCGGCACTGAGATTAGACCGATTTCCTTTGAAGACTTTGGCTCTTTGACCGGCGTCACCATACTCCAATCCGTAACTAACATTGGAGGAGGTGCCTTCCAAGGTTGCAGCTCCTTGGCAAGCGTGACCATCCCCAACTCCGTAGCTGAGATCGTGCAAAGCGTGTTTCAGGGTTGCAGGTCCCTTAAGCGTGACCATTGCGAGTTCTGCGGCTAAGATCGCGTTTGGCGCCTTCCAAAATTGCAGCGCATTGACAAGCATGAGCATCCCCGACACTGACCGAGATTGGTGCTCGTGGCTTCCGAGGTTGCAGCTCCTTGCACAACCATTCCCAATTCTGTGATTAAGATCGGGCAGCGTGCCTTTGAAAATTGCAGCTGACCAGCTCCTCCGTGTCTCGGCTTTGAAAGTGTGCCTTTGTTGGCTGCAGCTGGGTTGGCAAGGGCGGTGAGCGGGTTGATGGGCAAGAGGGTCAGTCAGATGACTGACACTTTTCTGTGCCGCCTTACTTGATGAAGGTTGATACATATTAAGGAATATATCCCTTGAATAAAAAGCCTTTGTACTGGTACAGGAATGTATCTGCCTCGCGTGTGGCGAACTACGCGCGTGCACAATTTCCATGGTATTGGCGCCATGGGGCATTTTTGGTCAAAGGATGCTTGGCCCGATTTGATTTTGTTTTGAAGCTCCTTTTGGGGGGTTACTCATTCAGAGAACCCAAATGTGGGAAAGAACCCCCTGAGGTACGCCACAGATGACATAACATGTTTGTATCCCCGCTACGCGTGCGAGTGACCATATCCTGATGTGTATTTCCTACATGTGTCTGCATCTGTGTGAGTGCGCTCATGCATTTGTATGTTTGTGTGCGTGCGCGTCCATGCATTTCCCAAATGAACGTATAATTGCAACGGCATTTCAAGAGATCGTTTCCAAAGGTGTTGATGAATTACGGCAGCACTATTGAAGCTCTCCGGTTTACACAAGCAAAACGGTTACCCTCCCACCAACTAACATGGATGTGCACAAACCCTTGTAGAAAGACAACTTTCTGATTGAAAAGGGGCTTTGTGCACTTCCATGTATCCCACAACCTCCAAACCAATTGCAACCTTGGTGCATTTTGCCAAGGGATGTTAGGACTTTAACTTTTTGCCCACAACAGGGGTTTTTGATATTAAACCACTAAAACAAAACTTTTAGCAGGGGAGCAGAAAGCAACCAAGAATTGGAAGGCCTTGTTTTGTTTTTTCTTTTTGGGGGGGGCGGCAGCGCTGAACCTTCAAGAGACCCAGCCTTCCAAACCAAGTGGAAGGTCTGGTTTGTTTGTTTGTTTGTTTGTTTGTTTGTTTGTTTGTTTGTGTGTTTGTTTGTTTGTGTGTTTGTTTGTTTGTTTGTTTGTTTGTTTGTTTGTTTGCTTGCTTGCTTGTTTGTTTGTTTGTTTGTTTGTTTGTTTGTTTGTTTGCTTATTTTTGTGTTTTATTTTTGCTTCGGGCGGGGGGGGGGGGGGTGCGAATTTTCACGGCTGAAGCTTCACGAGAAGCCCGGCGGATTCTGGCAGGCCGGCCAAGCGCCGAGCCACACAGGCGGGGGGGTGAGGTGCGGCGGCATTTCAGGGTTCAGCGCCGGACAAAAACTACCAGATGTTCCTCCGTTCGGGACAATTGAGAGCAAAGATTTGGTCCAGATGAAGAATCACACCCAAGTCACCTTCGACAACAGCAATCAATTTAACACCACTCCAATTAATACACTCTCCCTCCCGCTCACATACAATCTGACAGGGGGTTCCTGCAAGACGGTGATTGTTTTGTTCAGATTCCCTCCTGTCCTGCAAGTTTGAGGAACCAATTTCATACCACTCGGTATGAAATTGATGGCAACCTAGCGTTCACGTGGCTCTGAATCAGCATTTGAGTTCGAGCTCCTGGTTTTTAGGTTTTTTTTCAGTCGTCCCCGCTTTTGTGCTTCCCAATCGTTTACCATAGGTGGATATTTTGACCCAAGCCAAACCCTGCAGGGTGATCTATATATATATATATAGCATGCTGTTCTGTCTGCCTCACCCGGGGATGCCATACGATGGTCTCTGGGCAAATTGCAAAACATCACCAGCCGAAACATCAGGGAATCCAAATGGGGCCTGTGGGCTTCCCCAGAATTAGCTCCCCTTTTTCCTTTTTGGCTTTTTTGGGGTCCCCTTTGTTTTCCACTAACCAGGCAACAAATATTTTTTCTGGGGTCCCAATTCCAGCCAAGTGGGATGGGGAGGTCTGAGGATTTTCCCAGGCCAACCAGGCGGTTGTCAAAGCCAAGGGGGTCGATTTCACGACCGTTTTTTTCCCAGGGGGCTTAAACGCAAATGGAGGGAAGACCTTCAAATGGCCGTGGGATCCCATTTTGGGGATTTGAGCACCACCCAAATCTTAGTCAAGATGTTAGTGGGGATTGGGATGTGCACTGGGGGTACGGGATTTTGACCCATGGCCAACCAAACACCTTCCCCGGAATTAGCTCCCCTTGTTGTTTCTTTGCTTTGGGGCCCCTGTTGTTTTCCACTAACCAGGCAACTAGAATAACCTAGTTCCAACCAAAAGCGGGGTTCCCTTTCTTTTTGAATGGACAAATTGCACTGGACAGCAGGTGTGCGGATTGATGTCCACTTTTGCGCCGAAGCGGTTGTGGTTTCCTGATGCCTTTTGTCTCCAGGCCCAGGCCGTGCGCGGAGAGATGGCAGGATGAGTCTGGAGAAAATGCAGGAGAGTAGAGACAGTCAGCTGGCAGTTGGGTACTGTAGAGGTACCAAAATCCTGCAGTTGGGATGGATGACACCCTATCAGTACTACAGCCCATCTTCCAGCAGGGGTTTTGGTCCATCCACGGCGAAGCCAGACAGGGGCGGCCGAATTGTTTGCATGTGAGCTTGCTTGTGACCGCGCGTCCGTCGGCTTTGGCCTTGCCACGAATCAAAGCAGATCATGGGAGAGGCAAGTGCAGGCCATGCGGCCATGCCACATGCGACCGCCAAATCTGATGCATGCAGCCAACGGCAAATGGGACAGTGGGGTTTGAGCACACGGTTTCAGAAACACCTGGCAACAGCGCAGCGCTTCGTTCAAGCCTTCTCTTGGTATAGGTGAAACAAGGAGGTCTTTGTAGGTGTACCGTTTCGTTTGTGCAGCCCACAAGTGTTTTTTGTTTTCCCGATCTTTGAAAACGTGATCCAAGCCCGATATGAAGGCTTGTGAAGCCTGGGGGAATTGGCTTTGCATAACATGTCTGAGAGATAGGCGTTTGGACTTGATAATCCAGGAGTCCAAGCGCCCAACCCTCAGAGACAGCAAAGTGCTTATATGAGTCTAACCCCACCCACCCTAACCCTCCCCATCCAAAACAGGCTAGCTTCCGGCTTTGTAAATATGGCTGTGTGTACGTTTTATGAGTGTCGCCTTTTTGGGGGCGTGGGTGAAAGGAAAGCCAAAAGGACCACCGCCATTTTAGCAGGGCTCCTTAAAAGATCTCCATTTTTCAACACCAAAATAAAGGGAAACCACCATTTACAAGTTGCAAGGGTCAGGTGTATAATGTAAAGATCCCTGTTGAGTGGCTCCCCCTTTGACACATCCTCACCTGGCCATGAAAGCAGCCGGGGCTCCACGAGCGCTTGCTTGGGCCCCTTTTGCGCCGTGGGATGCGGGATTCACCACTTGCGGACGCGTGTTTGCAATGCCCCCTTTAAAAGGGCAAGACGGTTTTTTGAGGGGCGCCCCTCCCAAAAAAGTTTGAGGAAGCAGAGAAGCAGCCAGACACATTCGGAGTGAATTTCATTGAGCTAGGATCTCTTCGTTCATTTCCCTCTGTTTCAAGTTCACGAAGCGGCCAGAATCATATGCTGAAATCGAAAGGTTAAGACCCAAACGCAGTGGAAGCGAAGATGAAGAACCATTGCCGAGCGAAGAGCTGCCCTTTGGATTCGCGCAAAGTTGGATTTTGATTGTGCCCCGTCCAGCTCGCCTGGGCAAAGGAGAGAACAGGCTCAATTGGTATACGAGCTCTAGTCTCTCGCTCAATTATTTTGGTTGCCCGGTTGCTTGCGCCGGGGGGGGGAGGGGGGGGAGGGGGGGGGAGGGGGGGAGGGGGGGGGGAGGGGGGGGGGGAGGGGGGGGGGGAGGGGGGGGGGGAGGGGGGGGGGGGGGTTGGGCGGCGCGGCCTTTTGTGAAGAAGAGTTCTTCAAATAACAGGAGAGCTTCTTTTACAGCAATGGAAGCGTCTTCCCTTCAAGAACGCCAGTCAACGACTCAAAAGGGTGGTGTGATTAGCGTGCTCTTGAAGTGCCCAAGGTTCTTTTGGAGTCTCAGGCATCTTGTCGGATCTGCAGCTTGGGGTCGCTTGTTTTTTGGTTGGTTGTGATTGGCAGTGTCCTTTCCAAGTTTCACTGAGACGCATTATGCTGATCTGTGACACATGTTTCGATGCCATGTGAACCAAAACTGAGTGGAGTCTTCACTGTTTACTTTTGTCTTTTTTGGCGACTAGGGCTTCCTTGTTCTGCCAGGGTCGCTCAATTGGGGCCTTTGCTCGTTCCTGGGACCTTTCTACGGGTACATTCCCCATTCTTTCCAGGAATCCTTCTTTTCAGGAAACCATCAAAAACCCAAGGGAAACTGCCGGTTTTTGAAAAGAACGATGGTTGAGAAGAATGGGGAATCAACCCCTAGAACTTTGGGGCCTTCCAAAGTCCCTCCTGCTTTCGTGTCACCCATGTCGCTTCACCCGGAGCGAAAGGCAAAGGCTGGATGCGGTTCCTGAGGCTTCCAAAGGTGGAGCCGCCAGGACATTGGCTCTTCGGGCCTTGTGGGCCGCAGTTTGCACAACTTCCAGGGAAGTCCCTTATTTCAGGTTTGTGAGCTGTAGAAATGTGGGTCACTGAGTAAAGAAAGGGTGCAGCCCCCCTTACACACTTTGAAGGGACGTTAGGGTTAGTTTAGTATTGCATGGTGCTGCCTTAGTTCTTTAGTATTGGCTTGGTATTGCTAAGTCCTGCCATAGGATTGGTTTACTATTGGTTAGTTAGTAGTTGGTTCGGTGTGTATTTATTGTGTCTTACTGCTTTCTGCTAGTTCAGTACCGGTCATCTTCGGTCTCGTGTTTTTTGTATTGCTTGTTTGCTTGTTTGTTTGTGTGTTTGCTTGCCTGCTTGTTTGTTTGTTTGTTTGCTTGTTTGTTTGCTTGTTTGTTTGCTTGCTCGCTTGCTTGCGTTGTGTTTGTGTGTGGTTGGTTAGTTGGTTGGTCGGTTGGTTGGTTGGTTGGTCGGTTGCTTGCTTGCTTGTCTGTTTGGTTGGCTGTTTCGTTGGTTGGCTGGCCGTCGTGGAAGCGCTACAGCGGTATCACACATAATATGCATACCCAGGCAGATTCACAGCTCTGAATCGTTGGTGCATTTTGCTTGGATGTTAGGACTTCAACTTGTTGTTTCCATTAAACCACTAAAAGTTTAAAACTGTTAGCAGGGGAGCAGATTTCGCAACCGAGGAATCCTCTCATTTTTGCTCATCGCCAGGAGCGCGCCAGTGCCAACCCGAGAGGGGCAAGGGCCAGCCAAGGCGGGGCCGCCACTCCCCCCTGAAAAGCGGTGTTCCATAGTTTTGTTCGGCGGCTTCTCCACAAACTACCCACAAAGGTCCCCGTTTTGCACCAGGTGTCACAGAACAACTGACCATTCCCGCAAAACCCACGATGATCTTTATACAAGCGGTTTTCATTTGCTTCGGAGAAAGGAACGCCCTGCATCGCGAAAGCTTTTCAGCTTTTCGCAAAAACTCCGTCCGCGCAGTGTTCAGACAGCGCTTGGGGCAGGCAGTGTGCGAAAAGAGCAGACCTTGACCGTGCGAGAGTATCACTTGCTCCTGTTTTATTGGTGTGCTCAGGTTGTTTGCCGGTTTCGAAAATGTTTGCGGTGTTTTTTTGCGCAATGTTCTTGTCAGCTGTGCCTTTTCAGCTGGAGCCACCAAAGTGCAGTCATGGTGTGTACTCGTGGCCTGAAACATCAAGCTCTGGAGCTGCCAAAACCCGGAAAACGCGCAAAAGCGCTGACGCAGAACTTGGCGAAGGGGCGCAGGGAGGTTTTCCAAATCTTGACCAGCTCTCAGCACCGCTTCATTGGGCCCCTTCATGTTTTCAGAAGGAACCCGAAAAGACAGGGTAAGGCCTTGAAACTGTTGCAAGGGTTGGGAATGGGGAGGGGGGCTCCAGGATTTGTCAAACTCCCCCCCAACGCCATTCAACCAAGTTCGTCGCCTACCAAGCGCGGAACTATAGTTGCTTCTGGTCTCTTAGGGTTCATGTAGCCTTGAGAAAGCCTAGGTGGTCTGGCACCTGCGTAAGCTGGGCTCTTTTCCCTGTGCGCAGGTGTGGCAGATGCCGTCCGTGCAGGACATCGCCTTCACTGAGTCGCCCCTCTCGGTGCAAGTGGTCCTGCCGGCAGCTTGCGTCATTGGGCCATGGAACGGCCAAGGGAGGGGCCCCAAGCAGAAGTTGAACTTCGAATCATGTGGAGATACCGGAGGCATGTGAGTTTTCAGCGGGTGCCCATCCTTTGGCTTTAAAGAGGAAGCTGCTGATTCCCTGTGAGCTCTTATTCACTGGCCAGCCACATGGAGGTTTCACCATGCAGCACGAGCAACAGGGGAGCTAGCCCCGCGAGAGAACATCTCAGCTTTGCACAGCCAAGTTTAAGTCCCGGTTTCTTCGTTGTTCCGTTTCAACAGCAACAACCTGCCTCTTTGGTCGGGTCTAAGTGTGGCCACGTACGGTGCTCCTATGGAGGCCTAAAGTCTGACGCACGACGAGACTCACCTAGGCTTCCAACACAGCTTAAGGAGGTCTTAAGTTGTGGATGGGTCTGCCGGCGCAAGTTTGTTGCCATTCTCGCTAGGTACTTACATAGCTTCACCTGCTTACTATGTGATGGAGAACCTGGCTTGCAAAAACGAGAACACATAGGGTCTGAGTTCCACGAGCTAACAAGCGTCATACTCTGCATATTGCCATTGTGGAGTTACCCATCAACTTTCGTCTTGGCTGGAGGCTGGGTCCCTGGGTGGGTAACGCACCAAAGATTATCCGCACAGCCAGGGTCAATGGTAAGGGCTCGAAACAGCTCAGCTCAACGGCCCCCGCTGTACCCGTGCCCAAAATGGATTGAAAGCAGCCGTGCTCAGTGCTTTGTTCGATGCTTTGGTTTTGCTGAACCCCAGATGTTTTTTGGCCATGCTGTGTCTAATGAAGGTCGACTGGATGCTGACGTTTTTGGAAAAAGGCGCAAACCAGTTCGCAATCGTAACTTCAGGGAATGCAAGGCCCCTTAGATGCAGGTCCCGGAAGCGCAGGAAGCACAAGATGAACCAAAAGGCGTGACACTTAGCAACAATTAAATTAGTTGCCATCAGGGCCATGAACTGCCTATGGCTCCCTTGCTCCTGTGGATGGACGACTTCCTGCACCAGCTACTTATGGATGAAGGCCTGCAAGTACTGCAACAAACAAATTGCCAAGTTGTGTCAAATGGCTTTTGCCCATGTGTGTGTGCCCTTGAATCAGTATAAAGGCAGTGGTGGCCCACTTGGCTGCGTCTCTTCTTTCTTCTTGGCAGACGCTGGACCATGGAGATGAAGACTACGTGGGCGAGGCGTGGTCCGCTTGGTTTCTGTTTGGATGTGAAATAGCCACTAGATCTCATCTCACCCACAGGAACGTCAGACAGAGATGGGTAGTCAATTATCTTCTAATTTGCGCGTGTTTTGTTTCCTTGGAGAATCCCGCAAGGAGGGGCCAAAAACGGGATGCCCTCCAAAGAAGACGCCTATTTGTTTCAGATCTTCCATGTAGCACCAAGTAAAAGACTTTGACTTTTGGGAAATGATGATGTGCCCGAGGCAGCTCGCCTTAGACCCGCATCTCTACCAACCGGGGCGATGATATCCAATTATCTTCAAATCCGGATTTCTGAACGATTGAAGGGAACTTTGGACTACTTTGCCGGGCCAAACAACTCGAACTTTCATTTCCGAGCGGTTTGGAGCCAACCGATGAACTGATGAACTGGCCATTCCCCAGGTGTTCAGTGGCACCCTCTATATCAGTTGGTTTTGGGCGGGTTCCCGACTAAACCTTTCATGCCAGGCAACTGGTGAGCGCTACATAGCGTTCAAATTCTACAGCCAGAGCAAAGCAACGGATTGATGTTGTGAATCGTTGTTTCGGAAGGCGCGATCCCAACGCCACGATCCCATCCCTGTCCGAAGTTGGCCGAAAGGCGGACGCCCTGCAATACGCCTTCCCAGAGTCCGTGTGGTCGCGCCAGGGAAAGCCGCAGAAGGCGGGACAAGTGTCAAAATCCACGCCAGGTCGAAGGCTAGCAACACCCCTGCTGTGGATCTTCCTTTTAGTGGTGGAATAGCGGTTTCACTTCATTGGCAGCTGGGTTGTTCAAATTTGTTTGCAAGGTGTGAGATGGTGTCTCACGTGTTTCGAATTAGGGATGAACAGCCCAGCTTGATGTCGGAAGCGTGTTGGTCCAGGAGTTCACCCCCAACTTGGTTCGGTTCACCTGGACACCTTAACCAAAACACGTTCCGCCTGTAAAGGAGGCTTGCACACTTCCATAATCTCAAGTTCGAAGGTTCAATCAAGGGAGCCCCGTCCCTTGGCAACGGAGCTCATGGGTTCCACCTGGCGAACCTGCAGTCAACAAGCCTTCCTAGGATTCCATCGGCACAGGAACAAGCTCCTGTTGAATCCCAATACAACATCTAGAGTTCAGTTCAGCCCCAACTCTGCCCCCAACGTTGGTCTAAAGACCTGCACAAATTGACCCGTTCCAAACTGGCTTGACTGCTGTTGGGTTGGATCTTTAGACTTTAACTTTTGGGGAAATCAAGGGGTTTTCCACGCAATCCACAGAAAGTTTCAAACCTTTTGCAGAGGGGTCAACAGATCATCCATCATCCATCATCCAATCCCCTTATTCACCCAGCCAACCATCCAGCCCTAGACCCCAAAACCTCCCATCCCCTAAACCCTAAGCCCTAAATGATTCGACTGCCGTAGGGTTGCCAGGTCTGCCTGGGGCCCTACGCCAAACCGGAGGACTGGGACCGCTTCCGCCCCGTGTGCCCGGCCATCCTGCGCGCCCGGGCCCTGTTGAGACGTGCGGGTTGCTTCCGTTTCTCGGGGAAAAAAAAAGTAAACAAGGCCTCCCGAAAAATATAAAACCACCATCAACCACCACCCCTTCCATGGCCAATATTCTTGAATTTTTGTTGGAGGTGTGCGAAAAGTTCAAGTATACCAAGAGGGGCGCCAACTCGTTTGTTTCCACGGACACTTTAGGGCTGCTTTTGGTGTGGTTAAGTGAGTTTTGGTCTCGTTTCCAAAACTCGCCCACAACTCACCCTAAACCAACCCCAAGGCCGGCTCTAAACCAGCAGCACGCCTAACACAAATCAGCTCCAAGCCAGCCCAACCTGCTCAAAGTCAGGCTTCACCCCACCCAACACCTGGATGTCAGCCCTTCGCTTTGCGAAACCCAAACCACCCCAAGCCACCCCTAACTTAATCCAGCGCCCAACTGCCACCCAGTGAATGCTGGGATGGTGCTTGCCCTGCAGAAAACCAGCCTTAGGAAAAAAACACATCGTTACACCATGGGACTCATGCAATCCCTGGCCTGGTGATTCATTCTGTGCTGAAGGCCAAATGGACCGCGACCGTGGACTCATACACTCCCTGGCCTGGTGATTCATTATGTGCTGAAGACCAAACGGACCGTGATCATGGGACTCATGCACTCCTTGGCCTGGTGATTCAGCGGAAATGGACAACGATCATGGGACTAATGCACTCCCTGGCCATGATGGGACTCATACACTCCCTGGCCTGGTGATTCACTATGTGCTGAAGGCCAAACGCACTGCAATCATGGGACTCATACACTCCCTGCCCTTGTCAATCAGAATGTGCTGAAGGCCAAACGGTCCTAGTAAAAGAAACTCTGACCACTCCGGCCTAAGACCCTTGACCTGTTGGAACATGAGACAGAATCTGCAAATATGATTTTTCCAGTGTACCCCCTCTTTTATGGGCCAAGAAACAATCGCCCAATTGCGGTACGGAACCTTCTGCTGCAGAGCGCGAACGCCTCCAACTTACCTGAGGCCACAGAGCAGGTGCTGCAGTCCTTCGACCACAAAGTGGAGGTGACCTTTGGGGATGTGCCAGCGCCTGAGATGTTTAACGCAACCCGGAAAGCTTGATTTTGTGTGAACGCGGTTTCTGTTCTTTTGCGTTCATACTGGCATGTGTTTCCCACTTGGGGTCTGGGATTTATTTTTGAGTGTGGATTGAAATCTGGTGTGAGACACAGTTTTCTTTTAGTGGGTTGGTTTGCGTTCTTTGCCGTATGGGTTTTGATGTGGGGGGGTTGGTTTAGGGTTCCGTTTGTTGCTTCATGGGTAGATTCCGGGACTCGATCTGAGTTTTTCATGTTAGGGTTTCTTGTTCTTTTCCCCACTCGACAGGTTTGGGGTCGTTCATCTGCACACTGTCAGCTGCTATCAGCCCACGAAGCTGGATCTTGGAGCTGCAGATGATGTGTTCTCGCAGAGCGTGACTCCGTGACTGGTCCCTCAAAAGAATCGGAGTGAAGTGGACCGCACCAATCACAAAAATGTCATTTCCGTACCAGCTCAGGCTGCGATTGGTGAGGGTCACCTTTGCCTTCGCTGTTGCATCAGCCAACAGATGGAGGCCCCAAACGCAATTCAATTGACCTGTTGGCTCGTCGCAGTTCAGGGGGATTGTTCGTTTTTTGTGCGTGTTGGGTTTGATTGTTGCATGTTTTTTCATGAGGTTTGATTTGGGATTGTGTGTTTGGTTTTAGGTTGGAATCTTGGACGTTGATATTGGGCGGTGGTTTGTGTCGTTATCGCCTTTTGTGTTCTGGAAAGTCAGAACGGCACAACTGGACAATCCGGCTGGCGAAAGTTTTGCCATTCAACATCAGGCGAGCAAGCAAAACCGATTCAGACTTGGAGCCGGCCCATAAACTGAAAACCTTGACCAACCCCCAATCCATGAACAACAGCTCGTGAGCGGTACTCTCCCTCAGACTAACATGGAAGCTCGCAGAAGGCCTCTGTAAATGGAACCAAGTCTTCCAAGGGGGTCTTGGGAACTTCCATGTTAGTCTGGGGGAGCGTATTGTTGGGGATGCGCTTGGGGCTTTGTTGACACGCGTTGGGAGCGCGCCCATCCGAGTTTAGACTACGCTCCTGGGCATCTGCTGGGCTGGCACCAGGCCGGCGAAAGCCAACCCCGGAGCCGGTGACTGGATTCAGGCAACGGCTCAAGCAATATGCCAATAGTCCCCCACGAGGTCCTGACAACAAAGCTTTGTTTGCGCTCCCTGCTCGCATGTGGATATCTGTTCCTTGCAAAGGAGGGATCCCAATTGAACCTGGACCAAAGCTGCTTAGGCCCTAATTAGGACCCTATTAACACTTATGTTTCCCAGGCCAGTTGTATCCGTCACTAGGGATGACCCTATTTGTCATCAAGGGAAGCGGCTCAGGGCTGCTGAGTTGCAGGATGGCAGCTAGCTCCCGTCAGGAGCGAAGAGTTGTGGATCCCAAGTTGTTGACTAAGTCGCAGGCATTGGGCTTTCAGCTTCTGAAGTGTCAAGGGTGTCTGGAAAATTTGGTTGTGCACATGAGTAGCTCCGTGGCAAAGAACCGAACTTTGCTTGCAGATGAATAGATGGGGCCAGTTGGCCCAGGACCCTAAATGGCCTTCAACTGCCTCAAGAGAAGCACAGAGGTGATGGCTGATTCTTTGAGTAGCTTGTAAACTTCAAAATTCCCCCAAAAGGACGCCCGGTGATGACTAGTTCTGGCTTTTTTTTGAGAGTCTCCTGAAAGTGAGACCCTTGCGAATCCTCAGTTGTTCAAAGCCGGCCTTGTGACCTTTTGGTTTTCCCATGTTGGTCCATATTTAGTCATGGCCCCAAAAGGCTAACCTTTTAAACCTTTACTTCCAGGTCTTTTGGCAACTGAGAATCACCACATTCCCAAATTGGAACCTCAGACTCTCCGCCGGGTGCGCGAGGACAACATGGACCTGAAGCGCCATGTCTTCACTGACGGGGCCTCGGGCCACACTCATCCGGTGGCGGGGGCCCACTTGAGTTCCCGCGAGTTAGTCAGATTTAAGTTTGGGTTGTGTCTTTTGCAGTGCGACCTCTTGGAAAGCAAAGCCCATGTGTCGGTTCAGGTCAAAAGCAATCTATGCCCCCCCTCCCAAGGTTCAGTGAACCGGGTGCCCCAAAAAGGTGCTGAGTGCTTAGTGGTTGTCTTTCAGGAAGCTCAGTGCGTGGCAGTATTTCCCACACTCGCCTTTTGGTTCTGTTCCAGCTTTGATCTATGGGTTGTCTAGGTTCCAACAGATCCCATGTGACGGACATCATCAATGGCTAATGGGCACCTAGGGAATTGGATGAGGCTTCGTTTCCTGTGGTCTATGGTTTGTATTGTGGAGGCGAGAAGGCAGAAGTCACCAAGTTGGGATAGAAGTAATTGTGACTGTGCCTCATTCGGCGCCAAGCATATGGCGGGATGACAAGATATCCACCCGTTGTACCCAGGGTAGGGCCAATCAACGTTTAAAGTTTAAACACAAGCTCAAAGATATTTTGCCCCACGCCGGGACTTTACACATTGCTGGAAGATTATAGGATCAGTGCCCCAAATGCAATGAACATGCATATTTGCGCGACCTCTTTCTGTTTTATGTTTATTTTGGGCGGGGGGTGGTCACCAAGATCCTATGAAAGACCACTCCGTAGCAACCAACAAATTTAGACTTTCGGATCCACAATCCTTCTTTCTAGAAAAACCTCCAGAAACCCGATCGGGGAAACGGCTGGGTTTTGAACAGAAGGATGGTTGAAAGAAATAGGGGAATCAACTTGTAGACTTTTTGTCTCCGAGGATTTGGGTATGGGTCATTTCTTTAAAGCACCAGGAATCGGACCGCAGCTTTTATTGTCCTTGGTTCCATGTAGGTTCCAAAACGGATAGTCATTTTTGACCCGCCATTTCTACCGGGCAGTTCGTCCAGCTTCAGAATTCCATGGCGCCGAGGTGGTGTTGACACTGGTCTCCTGCGGCGAGGGCCGGACTGAGCTCCTGGGCCGCAAGCGTCAAGGGAGAACTTGGAGTTCTACACTCGATGCGGAGGGTTTGCTTTGGGCTGTTTCATTTTTTTGGGGGCCCCAACATGTTTTTGTGGTTTTCCCTTCTTGGAGTGTTTTTAAGCCACCTCCATGCAGCCGGTAGAGGCAGGATGCAAGCCCTGAATATCCAATAGACCCGCAGATCAGCGTGCTGCGTTGAATATAATTTTACACTCTGAAGCGAATGTGAAGACATTGATTTGGCCTACCCTGGTGCTGGGCCAAGCTTTTGCGTCCCGTTGCCCAGACCAGTGGCCTGTAGCCAAACACGGCCATTTGCCAAAGGAGGGGTATTTATTTTAGGTTTTTTTTTTCGTTTTTTTTTTGGATTTTTTTTCGCTTTTGGCTTCTTCGCTTTTGGCTTCTTGGCTTCTTGGCTTCTTGGCTTCTTGGCTTCTTGGCTTCTTGGCTTCTTGGCTTCTCGGCTTCTTGGCTTCTTGGCTTCTCGGCTTCTTGGCTTCTGTGCTTCTCGGCTTCTCGGCTTCTGGGCTTCTTGGCTTTTTGGCTTCTTGGCTTCTTGGCTTCTTGGCTTCTTGGCTTCTTGGCTTTTCGGCTTCTTGGCTTCTCGGCTTCTGGGCTTCTAGGCTTTTCGGCTTTTTGCTGGTTTATGCGGCTTTTGGTGGCTTTTTGGCTTTTCGCATCCTCTGCATTCCCAGTTCCTCTTCGGCAGGTGGCTTTTTTCCGACATCATGGGGGGGGCTGCCGCCCCCCCCAACCCCCCCGCTACGTTTTAGATTTTCTGCAGAGATTTAATTAGTTGCACCCCTACTTGAATCATCAATTCTTCGAACATCATGGGGGGGTTGCACCCCTAATTGAATCATCAATTCTTCGACCATCATGGGGGGGTTGCACCCCTAGTTGAATCATCAATTCTTCGACCATCATGGGGGGGCGGCCTTAACCCCCCCGCTACTTTTTAGACTTTTTGCAGAGATTTAATTGCACCCCTATTCAAATCATCGCTTCTGCAAGCAACATCGTGGGGGGGGCTGCCGCCCCCCCCCCAACCCCCCCGCTACTTTTATATATTTTTTACAGGGATTGGCATGGCTTCCTACTTGAATCATCATTTCTTTGACCCCGTCACACGATTTGTTGGTGATGCTAGGGATGTTGGTGGGACATGCGGGGTATATTTCGCGAGAACATGCTGTAAAATACGACACTTTACTGGCCCGGCAGAGATTGAATTGCACCTGTTTGAATCATCACTTTTTCGAGCGTCCAATTTCGCGAGAAAATGCCGCAAAATACGACTTTTTAGGTAATCTGTGTAGTCCGTGTATGTTTGTATGTATGCATTTCTTCGAACATCATAGGGGAAGCCACCCCCGCCAACCCTCCCGCTGCCTTGTAAATTCTATCACACCCTTTCTTGAATCATTGCACCCCTGCTTGAATCACCACTTCTTCCGACATCATGGGGAGGGCTGCCGCCCCTCCCAACCCCCCCGCTACGTTTAGATTTTCTACAGAGATGCACCCCTAGTTGAATCATCAATTCTTCGAACATCATGGGGGGGGGCTGCCGCCCCTCCCAACCCCCCCGCTACTTTTTAGACTTTTTGCAGAGATTTAATTGCACCCCTATTCAAATCATCACTTCTGCAAACAACATCGTGGGGGGGGCTGCCGCCCCCCCCCCAACCCCCCCGCTACTTTTTATGTATTTTTTACAGGGATTGACATGGCCTCCTACTTGAATCATCATTTCTTTGACCCCGTCACACGATTTGTTGGTGATGCTAGGGATGTTGGTGGGACATGCGGGTATATTTCGCGAGAACATGCTGTAAAATACGACACTTTACTGGCCCGGCAGAGATTGAATTGCACCCCTGTTTGAATCATCACTTTTTCGAGCGTCCAATTTCGCGAGAAAATGCTGCAAAATACGACATTTTAGGTAATCTGTGTAGTCCGTGTATGTCTGTATGTATGCATTTCTTCGAACATCATAGGGGAAGCCACCCCCGCCAACCCTCCCGCTGCCTGTTAAATTCTATCACACCCTTTCTTGAATCATTGCACCCCTACTTGAATCACCACTTCTTCCGACATCATGGGGGGGCTGCCGCCCCCCCCCAACCCCCCCGCTACGTTTTAGATTTTCTACAGAGATTTAATTAATTGCACCCCTAGTTGAATCATCAATTCTTCGAACATCATGGGGGGGGCTGCCGCCCCCCCCAACCCCCCCGCTACTTTTTAGACTTTTTGCAGAGATTTAATTGCACCCCTGTTCGAATCATCACTACCCCGCTCTGTTTTTCTTAATTGTTTTTTGGTATTTTTTTTTGCTGGGATTGAAATGCCCTCCTGTTTGAAGCGTTATTGTTTTGACCCCGTCAACCCGCCAGCTACATTTTTGGATTTTGTTACCCACGATTTGTTGGTGATGCTAGGGATGTTGGTCGGACATGCGGGGGATGTTGAAAACGATGCTGGGGATGCTGACGAGCTAGTGTAAAATGCGTCAATTTCGCGAGAAAATGCTGTAAAATACGACATTTTGCTGGCCCGGACGAAAACGAAAAAAAATCCCAAAAAAAAACGAAAAAAATTCCCAAAATAAATCCGCACCCTTTGCCAAATGTGCTTTCCCCAAACACGACGTTGACACCCCTGACTTCTCCCCGCCAAGCTTCCGGAGCCTGCGAGAGCGTTTTGCTTGCTTGAAAAAGCTCAGCTGCGCCTTTTCGATCAGAACCCCAAAGGTCTAAGCCTAAGGCGGGCTCAAGGCCCGAAACAGAATGCCGCAAGACCAAGGGCTTGGGTGGAACGCTGGCTAGGCTTTCTCGGGTTTCGTTTCCTATACAGGGACCTGTTAAAACATGTCGTGCCTTGCCAGGCCCTTTTGGAGTTCTAGGCGTGCGATTGAGTGGTTGCCGGGCGCCCGTTCAGGGTGCCCGTGTATTGAACTGGCACACATGTTGGGCCAGGTTGGTGTTTCCGTTGTCAATGGTTGAAGGCCGTGTCCGCCAACCCAATAACCACCTCTCGCTGGCTGGCCTTTGGATGCTACGCAATTGAGAGAGTTTGAGGATTGCTGTTGGTCTCTTGATTTGTGAAAGCTCACGGGGGTAACACGAGCTCCATAAAGCTTCCGTATCAGATTCCGAAGATTTCTGCTGTGTGAACTTTGAGAGTTTGCACAGATTGTGTTCCCCCCATGCCTTCACCTGCTTGTTTCCATCGAAGGCTCGTTTTATCGTATTCAACCGATTTTCCATGTGTTGCCCAGGGCTTCAGTGGTTCAATGGTTGTTTTTTTCCCTTCTGTGTTTGCTGGGCTCGGATCCCAAAGGACATGTTTCAGATGTATTGAAAAACCTTTCGGGTCCCATGATGACTGGGGTTATTCCAATTCATCCAAGTGCACCTCAGAAATGTTATCAAGAACCCTTTTGCTATCAGGGTCAACCGCCTAGAACTCTATACACCCACATCCCTCGCCCCCCATTGGTCAGTGGTCACGATTTTCAACTTGGGGAAGGGGAAGGCCCGCCAAATGCGTAGGTGGCGGCGCATCGCGCCGGACGGGCGCGAGCTTCTGGAGGCGACAAGATTAGTGTCGCACTTGGCATGGATGAACCCCCGGTAATTTAAATACTGAGATAAGCCAACCAACACCAACCAACCCAACCCAACCCAACCCAACCCACCTGCCAACCGACCAACGATGAGGGTAAAACGGATGAAAGCCCGTGAAGAAATGAAAGACCGTGCAGACTAGGAGCGTGTGTTTGTGAGTGTGTTTGCCCTTCAAAGGTGAAGAATTGTCGTTTCGGTCCATGTTCCACACATGAATTCAGAATCATGTGGGCATGTTATATCAAGATCATTCCAATCCCGGCCTTGGTCTGGCCAACCCAGCTTTGTCAGCCCGGTTTCCAGATTTGCCCGGCACTTTTTTTGTTCACTGTTGCTCTGGGGGCAGGGGCTTCCCGGCTTCCCTCTGAAAACCAGCAAGTCTCGGCTTCTGAAGGGCTTCGAGACCGGTTGAAACCAACCAGAACTCGCCTTGATTGGTGACTGGCAACTTGGGTTTGAACCCCTGGCTTTGTAAGGTTCTGTAAAATTGGAAGCACCCCCTAAGCTAAGCTCCCCACCAGGTGTTTGGAGGGTTCTGTAAATGCGAACCACCCCACCAAGCCAAGAAATCAACCCCTACGCTTGGAACCGTGGGCCCTGGGCCCTGGGACGCGTTGCTTTCGCCAGGTGGTCAGCTCCACACGGCCCGGCAACGGATCGCTGGCCATCCATGGCCTTTGCTGCAACAATGCCCTGGCGCCGCTCGGTGACAGGGGCGCTTTGGGGGAGGGGGCGGGGATGGTAGGGTAGGAGGGGTAGGGGTAGGATGGGGCGAATTGTGGGGGTTGAGGTTGGGGTGTTGGGGTTGGGGTGTAGGGTGCTTCCAGGAGACCCTAACTTTTGGAAGACGGTCCCGTTAAAATGGAACACGGGGCAAGGGGGCGCATACGCGGGTATTATGCGGAACCCCTTTCCTTTTTGGTGGAGGGGATTCCGCATGGATGAAACCAAGTTTCTTAGCCTCGTGGATTGATAGGGTGTTCCTTGAAAAGTGAGGGGTTTCCTCTAACATGAAATCCATCGATGGGTTCCTAGGCGAACGGCGGAGGAGCCTGGAAGTAGGTCCAGTTCCCTTTGGAGATTGACAGACCCCCTTCCAAGTTATGAGAGTTGCTTCCAGGCTTCCTTCCTCAAACTCCATGACGAAACCGCACATGGAACGCAAACAGCCACCCTTCCTTCTCGGGAGAGTCTTTTTGTGGGCGCTTCCAGGTTAGTGTGTGGGTAGGACCTTTGTAACAAACAGCTCCCAGTTTTCCGTTTTCGCTTCAAGCGGTCCCGGCCCCCCCAAGGCATCGCGCCTTTTGGGATGAGGGCCGTCGCATTGCCGTGGCGGGGCTCCTTAGCTCACCCGAGTGCTGGACTTGAAGCTTTTTGGTGAGACGACGTTGTTGATGTTAAACGCAAAGAAGCACCAATCAACCCAAAACAACTGCAAACAACCCAAAACAACTGCAACAATTGCGAGGCAGGCAGGAAAATTGCAGTTTGAGTAAAAAACCAAAATGGACACAATCCTCCCACAACAACAAACACAGACTAGATCCAACGCGAAGCGCAAACAGCTGCCACGGCAGGAAAATGGCGTGGCGGCTTTTGGATCCTCTTCTTTTGCGAGTCTCGAGGAGCGCAAGTTGGTCGCTGACCAGAAGTGAGAAAACCAAAACCAGAGTTGCTTGCGTTCAGCTGGGCCATCAAGATTGTTTCTTGGGTTTCTCAAGAAGTTTCGTACAGGCCCGCCTAGCACAACTTTTGGGACCCATTTGTGATTTGCTAGCACGGATGATCTTTTTTGCCCTGGGAAGTAGTACGTGCTCACCTGGTACGTGCCCAAAGTACGCATGCCGCTCTAGCCCTTATACCACTTACATAGGTTGGCGACTCGAGTGCGCTACTGAAATGATGGCACTCATACAATGCAATCCTCTGGCTGATGAATGGTGTCAAACTGCTTTCAACTGTACTGGCACCACGGTCAAGCAATTGAATATTCTGTACTTCTGTGTTGGGACTTGCTGACGTCCCGTTTCACGACGATCTTATGCCCGAATTCCGCATCTACTTTGTTTAAAAATGAAAACAAACTGAAAAGGTGTTTTTAGCATCACTGTTTGAAATGGCTAGTTTAGAGTGAACTTCCTTTTGGCGTGGGGCTCTTTTAAAAAGGAGTGTATATATATATATATATATATTATTGTTTGTCCACCATATAGATATAGAAAGCCAACTTATGGAAGTGAACTGATTCCTCAAAAACACCCATGATTGTTGGAGGTAGCTCTTCTCAAAGAGCCACATGTTCCTTGTGTAGAAAGCCATGTTTTTCCAGCTTCCCTCTGCCTACAGTTATGTTTGGATATGGGAGCTGATGGGAACCCTCTGCAAGGGTCCAGGCTTCTCCAGACCCCAATGGAATTATCCCAAGGCACATAGGGAGCGCTTCAGTATGGATCAGATGCAAACAATCAGGGGACTCAGTTGCTCCATCCCGGAAAGGGCAAGTTGCCCCCTGGCAAGGGAACCACAAGAAGCCAGCCCCTTGGGTATTGGATCCCGAGGCTGCGAGGAACCCTGATTGAAAAAGCAAAGCGTCATGAGCAAAGCGGCTGCGTTGATTGCAACAAGGTGAGCGTGACAAGGCTCTGTTCAACAGTACTTCTCCTTGGCTATTCTGAGTGGAGGGTCGGCCAAAATCCTCCACAATCCTTACTGGAAAGCCACAAGAGACATCCCTGTGGTGAGCTAAGGGCAGGAACTTATGCGCAGCCCTGTTAATGTGGCGCCTGACTAAGAAGCGTGCCGTTGATTGCGACTCAAAGGAGTCGAAAGGCAAAAGGTACCCTGACAGGGAAACAACCAAACACAACCCCCCCACCTTGTTCTCGAAACATTCATAGACGGGTTCTGATTGGCCGGGAGGGCGGATCTGAATATCGACGTGTGGAGCCACCTCCGTCAACCGAGTTCTTGTGAGAGAACAAGCTTCGGGGAGGCGTTTCGCATCAGAATTGGTTTTGTTGACCGCATTTGGCCAAGACCGTAGAAGACTAGATTGGACTTGTTCAGTTTTTCGCCTTTATATTTGTTGCCCATCATTCCCCCTCACTTTGGCAGGGGCTCAAATCTGGTTGGCCAAGTTCCCTCCCCACTCCCTTCGGGAACTTGCAAAACGCCTCATATCGGAGCGGAGTATTTAGTTTATTGTGGGCATTTTTCTGCAGTTCCATTTGTCACTTTCCTTGGTTTCCTTCGGTCCGTTTGGGACATGGGCCGTGTGGCTCCATTCCCAGCTTGGCCATTCTCTTTTTGACCTCTTTGGTTCCAAACGGTCAGACCACAAGCCACCGAAACCGACCGGCCGCAGCTTCAGGTCCTCTTCTGCCGCTCTGCAGAGCTGGAGGCCGCGCTGCAAGAGGAAGGCACCCAAAGCCGCCAGGACCTTTGAGCCAGGCCGGAGAGGCACGGAAGCAGCACAGCCAACTCCTCCCGGTCTGGCAATTTTCTGAGATTGCCCGTTTTGTTTGGTGAGTTCAAAGGAAAACCACCATAAAAATCACCATTTTGGGCAGTCGGTCAATTTTGAGGTTACTTTCGTTTTTTGATTTTAGGACTGCTTGGAAGAATGCGCTACACTGCCAAGATGGAGGGGAACACGCAAGCGCCTATCCTGTATTTTATCACTATCAATCTGCACTGCAACCGATGCTAGTACCATTCCCAGTGCCGTTTCTTCCACTAGACTAGCACTGCTAGATACTATCATAGGTGTCCTTTGTTGTTGTTTTGGTGGAAAGAATAGATGGCGCTGGCTTACCTGGTGGTTTAATCATCTACCAGGGAAACCCATCGATTTCCCCTAAAAGGGCACCTATGGATACCATACCACCGCCGCTGCCCCCGGGAGTTTCCAGCATCCTTCCGCGTGCTGGCGCCGTACTGAGGCCTCTCCATGCGGCACTGGTGGACCAAGGACTTTGAGTCGACCAAGTAAAACAAAAAGCTGCGCGGGGGTCGCAAATCAGTGCAGTTGGGGTAAAAGTACATGGCACACGCACAGATACTCACATGACGCAAGTTCCCTTTTTATGAAGGAGCTGGTTTTGTTGATGGCACCATTCCGTCAACGTTGGCAAATAAGAAGGTTTGGGCCAAACCAACATGGAATTGTGCCATGACTTTTTCACCCTGAACGCACACGCAGACACTCACATTTGCATCCTGGAACCTGTGTGCAGTTGACACAAGTCCCATTTTTGGATGAAGGAGCTGGTATTGTTATGCCTGAGGCGGGCGTGCTTCATGGGCTTCACGATTTTTCACTTGCAGCGCTTTTGCCAGTCTGTTGGATGTGTATCATGTGCGGATATTGGGTATGTCTTTTTGTTGTGGGGCGGGGCAAAAGATGGTGGCTGTCCTTTTGGTTCCTCTTGGCACCTTGGGGTCAAACAGACTCTAGTTGTTTTAAGGTTCGCTTTTTTTGTCTGGGGGATTGCTTGGCCCCGTGTGGAACTCTTATGACTACACCCTGAAACAGCGCAGCGCGTATGTCCCGCAGCGGTTTGGGTTTCCGGCGGCATGCCTGCCATGCCGGACTTCGCCTCGAACCAATTCGTGTCGTGGGCGAACTTCCAAGCTGAGAACTTCCAACTCGGCACTGCCGCGGCCTGAGTCGCGAGTCACCGCGAGGGGAAATTGTGTTGCTCCCCAAACCCAACGTCCACCAAGTATCCCTGACACTTTTTGCGGCCCTCGCCACCATGTTTAACTGCTAAAATTTACATGGCTGTGGCTCAAAAAACCGGTACCAAAACGGAACCCTGACAGTTGGAAACATGGACCAAAACCTGCGAACCCCCCCCCTGTTTAATTTTGAGCCACGCCCAACTTGTTGCTCCCCTTCCGAGTCCAACGTCCAGTTTCGAGGCCAAAGAAGCCCAAGCAGAGGCCAAGGCCTATGAAGCCCCGGAGGCACGCCGGGCTCCGTTGCGCCAGCGCCAGCGACGGCCGAAGAATCAGTCAGCCCCCAAACCAACTCGAAGAACACGGGCCTTTTTTTTTTGTTGTTGTTTGCATTGGGCGTTTTTTTTTTTTTTGTGTGTGTGTGTGTGTTGTTGTTTGCATTGGTTTTCCCTATTCGAGTTGTTTCTGGCTTGGGGAAAAGGACCAGATTGCTTTTCCCAAGCAAACCTCTGGAGGAAACCCAGACTCAACAGCTTAGCTCCGGACCCTGGGGAGGAAGAGCTCAAGGCTGAGTTTGTTCCTAGGTCTTCCCGAATTGGGGGGGGGAGTTTCCTAGATCGAGTTTTTCCGGATTGGGCTCGTGTTACGCGTTGTTTTGCGTTTCCGTTTGAGCTTCCGGATGTGTGGCCTCTGTGGGCGAGGGCAGCTTATGAAAAAAAAGGTTCCTGGCTTTTCCAACGGACAACCATGTGTTCTAAGTACTGCATCCTGGAATCCAGTCGTTAGAACCCACGGGTCACTCCAAAGAGAGCTGTTGCTATGGGCCCTTCCCCAGCTGTTTGGTTGGTTCAAAACGATTTGTGTTTTTTGGAGGAGGCCCTTTTTGGGGTTGCGTTAAAGGGGAGTCAAGAAAACAGCTATTTTGGGGGTCCCCTCTATTAACACAGGTTCAAGGTCAATCCTTATGCCAGATGCAAAAATAGGAAGTACAGATGAGGATTTAGGGGCCCTTTATATGCCCCCACAGAATGAGTGACCTTCAGCTCTCCACAAACGTTGTTTAGCTAGAAAATTTGGGTCGGGTCTCAAGAGTACGCTGGGATCGTCACGTGCTTCCAGCATCTGTTTTTTCACCTTGCCATTGAGCCCTGTCATTTTGGATTTTGGGCCCGGGCCGTTTCTGTTAAATGCCGGTTTTGCTGTGGACTGGGTTCGGTTGTTTTTTAGGCTCAAGGATTGAACTCCGTTGTCCTGGGTTCAGTCATTCTTCCACGTTCCACCATCATATTTTTCAATCCTGAGCACCAACATGTTGTAGACGCCCATGTAAAGGTGGCCCTTATTTTTGCGGGGACCGCAAAATGGTGTTTTGTTCCTTCAAAACCACCAAGCCACAGGTACCCTCAAAGAAGACACCCATTCTCTTGAGATTTTGAGTTCTCGAGATGCGCCTGCATCCCTGCAAACCCCCCTTTTGTTACCGGATTTTCGAGGCCGTTTCTGAGGCCGTTTTGTGGACAGTGTTGCCAAAGCGTGTTTGTTTAAATACAACGCGGCCGTTCCAAGATCAGCCCTGAAATTCACCGGTTGCTCAGTGGCAGAGTGGATTGCATCATCGTTTGCTCCCTGTTTGCTTGGCGGCTGGCCGCTTTTTGGCCAAAACATGAGCTGTAGATTAGTTTCTTCATGGGCAGGGCGTTGGGTACCTGCTGATTTGCGTGCGTTATTGTTTTGTGAGTTGGTGCCCTTTTGCGTTGCTTCGGGAAACGGGAGGGAAAGCGAGCCTGTGCACGTAGATGCTTCATGCCAGGAATTGGGGTGGACTCCTTTGAGTAATGTCATGTTCGGATGCTAGAGCGCAATCCGTAGAATAAATTCTATTAACTCCATTGATGAAAGCCCCAGAATGAACTGATTCCCCACTAAAAGGGCGACTTTCCGTACAGTCTGCGTCAATCCTTTCTGGGGGTTGGAGTTTCAGTGATTGCCTTCACCCTGGTACGAAACCAGCCTTTTTGGGCTGCCTCGAAACACACTGGCTTCCGAAGTGGATATTTTTGAACACGCCAGGTCTGTCGATTGATTCCGCCTTCCGCCAAGGGAATCAGTTGGAGCACATTGAAACAAGATCTCAAACACAGGTCCTTGCCATTTGAGTTTTTGGGTTGCAGCACTGGGCCCCTGGGTAGTTTGAGGGTCCATGTTTGAGGGGTCAGGCGCCTTGGGCCGGGAAGTTCCAACCTGTTTCAGGCCATCTTGCCAACCATTGACTGGAGCACTCGGCAGCTGGTGCCCTTTTTGAGGCAGGGTCGCTGCCGGCGTTTTGGGCGCGATTCAAGCCACTCTGCCAGGATGATGGGATTGGTTTGCCAGGCCTATTGGTTCCGGTGGCAATGTCGTCGGGTATTCGTCGGTGTTTCCTTTTTGGAGCCAGGGGCTCCAACTGTTGGGTGCGATTGATGTTTCTTCTCTTGTTGAAGCAATGTGAGATGTCGGCCCCTCTCCAATGGTTGCTTCTTTTGTTTCCCTTTGGCCAGACATTCAAAAGGGATCTTTTTTCCATTTTAGCTCACTGCCTGATGAAGCCCCTGGTGAATCGATCATGGTTCCAAGGGTGCTCGCCTCATAAGTCCGCAGTGTTTCAAAGCCGACCTTTTAGCCTTTCGGTTCGTTTGTGTTTCCTTTCGCCAAGGTCTCCAAAAGCTTTTTTTTCCAGGTCCTTGGAGCAAGCGAGAAAGGGTTAGTGGCAGGTCCTCGTCAATTGGCATTGACTGGCTGGGGAGGGATAACAGATGAGTTGGAAATGGCTTGCCCCTTACCAAAAGCCAAGGTAGCCCAACCGGGTGTGTCTCTTTGCAGGACTCGCCTGTTATATGGGCGGTCAGTCTTCGAGAAGCCCTTTCTGTTGTATGACAGATTCATGGATTCCATGTCAACCACAGCCAGCATTTCCAACCCACCCTCCACCCACCCCACCCCACCCCACCCCACTCCACCGCACTACTGAGCTTTTGGCACGCAGCGCAGGACCTTCGTCCCGCTGCCCAGCGTCGATCACCCCGCCGCCCAGGCATGGCGCCAGGCGCGAACGGGAGCGCAAGGGCCATTCTAGGAGTTGCACCCTTGAAATTTACCCCCCCAGGATGGGAGGGGTAGACCTTTCTTGGCAAACCCCGATTCATTTTTATACTATTGAAATTGTGTTCCAACCCCACACCGTCAAGTTTAAGCAAAATCCATTTGCACCAAAGGAGTCGAAGAAGTCTCGCTTTGTGACTAACCTCGCTGCCACTGCAAGAAGAGTTTGCCATCATCGGCAGCGATTGTTGCCGCCTCACTCCCAAAGTTCCTGGACCATTCTAGCGGCAAGCGAAAAGTTTGGACTTGTTTTTGTTGGCCAGTCAACTCAAGAAGTGAGGTGTTGTAGCTGCAGTTGCTCTGGTTGCTGTTGTTGTCAGGGCTGGTGTTGGTGTTTGCTGGATGTGGTGTGTGGTGTGTGGGTGGCGGTTCTGGTGCGTGTTGTTCGGCTCTGCCTTGACTGATTGCAACACACGCGGCATTTCAAGGCAGGAAAATGTTTGCTTGTTTGAGGGGGTAGGGTGTTTTTAGCGCCTGTTTCGGTGTTTCTGTGGACAGGAGTGCTTTTCGGGATGGTTTGGGTGTTTTGGGGGTCTGGCGGGTGTTTTGGGTGAACACCAGGCGCCAAAAACACCCACACCGGTGCCCAAAAAGTCGGCAGCCACCAGGCGCCAAAAACCCCAAAACAGGCGCTAGAAACCCGCAGCCCCTCTTTTTTAGGTCTAGTGAAAGCGTGATACCAAAGGAACCCCCTTTAAAGTGATAAAGATTCATGGCCCAGGTGAGCCACAATCAAAACCCCAGATGAAGGTTACCAGGGGTAGGGTGTTTTTAGCGCCTGTTTCGGTGTTTCTGTGGACAGGAGTGCTTTTCGGGATGGTTTGGGTGTTTTGGGGGTCTGGCGGGTGTTTTGGGTGTCTGTTTTTATCTTCTCGGTGTTTTTGGTGTCTGGTCGGTGTTTTGGGCGCCTGGTTGGCGGGTGTTTTGGGCGCCGAGTGGACGGTGTTTTCAGTGCTTGGTGGCTCTGAACGCATGAGCCTCTGTGGTTCGATTCCTGCCGTGACCGCGGGGATCTTGTCCCAAAATTTATGCGCAAAGAACTGCGTGCGCGTTAGCTGCTTTCGGCTGACGCTGGTGCCTTAGCTTGGCCGCGTCGTGCTGGATGTGAGTACTCACAGCGGGAGGCGTTTTTCAAGTCATTTGTCTTGAGGCCGCACGTCCCCGGCCCCGGCCGCCTCCCGGACACGTGTGTAGCAAAGCGGCTTTCCCCCCTTGGCAATAGCGGGCGGGATGCAAGGGCAGCTTAAAAATAGCGGGCGCGTTGGGGGGGCGGCAGCCCCCTCATGCTAGCAGCCGCACTAGCGCGCGTTCCTTGGCAGCCCGCGGTCCTCAGCAGACGCAGCCGCGACACGCAAGCCGCGACGCGCAAGCAGCGCAACAGAGGGGCTAAAGGCGCAAGCTGGGAACTTTGAGGGCAAGGGGTTGGGGCTATATGAGGCAGCTGGAGGCAGCTGTAGTCCAAGGGGATTGGGGCAGTCTATAGGGCCACGTACCTCTGAGGGCAAGGGGCTGGGGCTGGGTGAACTGAGGGCTTGCTTTGAGGCAGTTGAGGCAGCTGTCGTCCCGAGAGCTGAAGCCTGGGTGAAGTGCAGCGATTCTCGCCGTGCCACACGTGTGTAGCAAGGCAGCTTTGGCCTTTTGGAAATACGGGCGGGGTACAGGGGCAGCCTAAAAATAGCGGGGGGGGTTGGGGGGGCGGCAGCGCCCCCATGCTAACACAACAACGACGTGCCCGCAGCCACGTAACAAATCCTAGCGCGTGTTCCTTGGCAGCCCACAGACCTCAGCAGAGACGAAACGCACGCAGCGCGCAACAGGTGCTACAAACGCAAGCTGCTCCATTGAAGACAGGGTGGGTGAAGGGCAAGGGTTTTGGACAAGCGATTGAGGTGGTTCGAAGGCTGAGGCTGGCGCCCGGACACATAATGAGGCCGTGTGTAGCAAAGCAGCTTTCCCCCCTTGACAATAGCGAGCGGGATGCAGGGCAGCCTAAAAATAGCGGGGGCGTTGGGGGGCGGCGGTCGCGACACAAGCAGCGCGCAACAGAGGGGCTAAAGGCGCAAGCTGGGAACTTTGAGGGCAAGGGGTTGGGGCTATATGAGGCAGCTGGAGGCAGCTGTAGGGGCCTATTCGGAATAGGGCCACGCAGCTTTGGCCAGCGGGCGGGGTACAGGGGCAGCCTAAAAATAGCGGGGGGGTTGGGTGGGCGGCAGCCCCCCCATGCTAACACAACAACGACGTGCCCGAAGCCACGTAACAAATCCTAGCGCGTGTTCCTTGGCAGCCCACAGACCGCAGCAGAGACGAAACGCACGCAGCGCGCAACAGGGGCTACAAACGCAAGCTGCTCCATTGAAGACAAGCGTGATGAGTTACGTACCTCCGAGGGCAAGGGGCTGGGGCTAGGTGAAGCCAAGAACTGAGGGCTCGCTTCGAGGCAGTTGAGGCAGCTGTAGTCCCGAGAGCTGAGGGCTGGGTGAAGGGCAAGGGCTTGGGAGCAGCAATTCTTGCTGTGCCACACGCGCGCCGTGTGTAGCAAGGCAGCTTTGGCCCCTCGGAAATAGCCGGGCGGGGTACAGGGGCAGCCTAAAAATAGCGGGGGGCGGCATCCCCCACGCTAACACAACAACGACGTGCCCGGAGCCACGTAACAAATCCTAGCGCGTGTTCCTTGGCAGCCCACAGACCTCAGCAGAGACGAAACGCACGCAGCGCGCAAAAGCTACAAACGCAAGCTGCTCCATTGAAGACAAGTGTGATGAGTTACGTACCTCCGAGGGCAAGGGGCTGGGGCTAGGTGAAGCCAAGAACTGAGGGCTCGCTTTGAGGCAGTTGAGGCAGCTGTAGTCCCGAGAGCTGAGGGCTGGGTGAAGGGCAAGCGTTTGGGAGCAGCAATTTTTGCTGTGCCACACGCGCGCCGTGTGTAGCAAGGCAGCTTTGGCCCCTCGGAAAGCGGGTGGGGTTCAGGGGCAGCCTGAAAATAGCGGGGGGGTTGGGGGGGGCGGCAGCCCCCCCCATGCTAACACAACAACGACCCCGAAGCCACGTAACAAATCCTAGCGCATGTTCCTTGGCAGCCCACAGACCTCAACAGAGACGAAACGCACGCAGCGCGCAACAGGGGCTACAAACTTAAGCTGCTCCATTGCAGACAAGCGTGAGGAGCCATGTACCTCCGAGGGCAAGGGGCTGGGGCTAGGTGAAGCCAAGAATTGAGGGGCTCGCTTGGAGGCAGCTGTAGTCCAAGGGCGGGCAGGTCAAGTGCCGAGAACTGGCAGCAATTCTTGCTGTGCCACACGCGCACCGTGTGTTGCAAGGCAGCTTTGGCCCCTCGGAAATAACGGGTGGGGTTCAGGGGCAGCCTAAAAATAGCGGGGGGGTTGGGGGGCGGCAGCCCCCCCCACGCTAACACAACAACGACGTGCCCGAAGCCACGCAACAAATCCTAGCACGTGTTCCTTGGCAGCCCACAGACCTCAGCTGAGACGAAACGCACGCAGCGCGCAAAAGCTACAAACGCAAGCTGCTCCATTGAAGACAAACGTGATGAGTTACGTACCTCCGAGGGCACGGGGCTGGGGCTAGGTGAAGCCAAGAACTGAGGGCTCGCTTCGAGGCAGTTGAGGCAGCTGTAGTCCCGAGAGCTGAGGGCTGGGTGAAGGGCAAGGGCTTGGGAGCAGCAATTCTCGCCGTGCCACACACGCGCCGTGTGTAGCAAAGCAGCTTTGGCCAGCGGGCGGGGTACAGGGGCAGCCTAAAAATAGCGGGGGGGTTGGGTGGGCGGCAGCCCCCCCCATGCTAACACAACAACGACCCCGAAGCCACGTAACAAATCCTAGCGCATGTTCCTTGGCAGCCCACAGACCTCAGCAGAGACGAAACGCACGCAGCGCGCAACAGGGGCTACAAACGCAAGCTGCTCCATTGAAGACAAGCGTGATGAGTTACGTACCTCCGAGGGCAAGGGGCTGGGGCTAGGTGAAGCCAAGAACTGAGGGCTCGCTTCGAGGCAGTTGAGGCAGCTGTAGTCCCGAGAGCTGAGGGCTGGGTGAAGGGCAAGGGCTTGGGAGCAGCAATTCTTGCTGTGCCACACGCGCGCCGCGTGTAGCAAGGCAGCTTTGGCCCCTCGGAAATAGCCGGGCGGGGTACAGGGGCAGCCTAAAAATAGCGGGGGGACGCTAACACAACAACGACGTGCCCGAAGCCACGTAACAAATCCTAGCACGTGTTACTTGGCAGCCCACAGACCTCAGCAGAGACGAAACGCACGCAGCGCGCAAAAGCTACAAACGCAAGCTGCTCCATTGAAGACAAGTGTGATGAGTTACGTACCTCCGAGGGCAAGGGGCTGGGGCTAGGTGAAGCCAAGAACTGAGGGCTCGCTTCGAGGCAGTTGAGGCAGCTGTAGTCCCGAGAGCTGAGGGCTGGGTGAAGGGCAAGCGTTTGGGAGCAGCAATTCTTGCTGTGCCACACGCGCACCATGTGTAGCAAGGCAGCTTTGGCCCCTCGGAAATAGCGGGCGGGGTACAGGCAGCCTAAAAATAGCGGGGGGGTTGGGGGGCGGCAGCCCCCCCCATGCTAACACAACAACGACGTGCCCGAAGCCACGCAACAAATCCCAGCACGTGTTCCTTGGCAGCCCACAGACCTCAGCAGAGACGAAACGCACGCAGCGCGCAAAAGCTACAAACGCAAGCTGCTCCATTGAAGACAAGCGTGATGAGTTACGTACCTCCGAGGGCAAGGGCTGGGGCTAGGTGAAGCCAAGAACTGAGGGCTCGCTTCGAGGCAGTTGAGGCAGCTGTAGTCCCGAGAGCTGAGGGCTGGGTGAAGGGCAAGGGCTTGGGAGCAGCAATTGCGCCGTGTGTAGCAAGGCAGCTTTGGCCCCTCGGAAATAGCCGGGCGGGGTACAGGGGCAGCCTAAAAATAGCGGGGGGCGGCATCCCCCACGCTAACACAACAACGGCGTGCCCG